TTCGACGAAGGTTCACTAGTGTGGTTTCACAATCCAGTCCGCAGCAAAGGGAAATCTCCTAAGCTTCAAGCTAAATGGGACGGCCCGTACCGGATTGTGACCAGGATCAACGATGTAACCTACCGGATACAGAAAGGCGCAAGAGGGACTCCAAAGATCGTCCATGTGGATCGCCTGGCGCGTTATTATGGGTCCGATGATGCTCGGGACGAGCATGTCTTGGGAGGGGGCAGTGTTGCGCGAATAAGTCGACGTCATGTATCTGGCACTAACGCCATCTAGTGTCAGTGACGAGAGGGAGGGGAGCTTTCCAGAAAACGACATCACGAATCTTTCAACCGACAGCGCCATCTAGTCTTGGAACGAAGAACTAAGCTTCTAGAAGTTGACACTCGAACTCTCGGCCCCTTACGCGTGTTTACTTGAATATTCTGGATGTTTCGGTGCTAATTTGTATTTATAGGCGCTGCAAGATGCGATCGGGGAAGTATTGAATTTGGCGAGACAAGCGAAGCTTCGGAGCGAAATAAAGTGAATTAGTGTGCTTAATTATTAGTGTTTTAAGTTTTAATTTGTGTAAATAAATTAAATTGTTAATTTAGGTAATTCTATCGGCAATTTTTATTGTCACGAACCTCAAGCCCGTAACAATATTATTTCTACTCCCGTTCATCAATTGGGTTTATTTTTAATATTTTGAGCTATGATCAGGAAGACGCTGTTGTCCATCTTATGTAGATTTCTACTCCTGCACCATTTAAAAAACCTCCAAGAAACCACCTCCTGCTACATTTAAGAAATTTTGAAGTCTGTTCGAACGTAAAAAAATACTGGCATGTGGTGCTAATTAATATTCAATGGGACCAACATTAATAAACACCATGAAATGAAACCTTATTTTATCAAGACTACATCAACTTGAATATTGAATATTATGTAAATAACTCATTTCCGATTCCAGGACAATTTTCCGTAAATAATTAATTAAAGACACATCGGAAGCCCGTTATAAAAAAGTGTTGCTTGACGTCTGATATTTATGCGATTTTGATAAACTAACTTACGTGTTTCTGTTGCCTATAATATTGCCAATATATAAACAGATACCAACTTGTCTCGTGACAAGACAAGTGATCCACTTTTGCTAATTTTAGTACGAAATAGTGTTATCAATGTTTATTCAAGCCCACGCGAGCGAAGCCGCGAGTATAAAGCTAGTTTGGAATAATTCCAAATAAAATCAGAAGCCTTACTTACCCGTATTTTCAAAAATGCAATAACGGTATATCATTATTTATTTATTTGATTTACAGAAACATATTAACAAGCATAACAGAATGTTTAACATCGTGCATACATGGATGTTTGACATGCATCGCGCCGTGCAAGTACGTTTTAAAACTTATTTGTGAAGTAGGGTGTATATCCTCCTCCCTAATACCAGCCCCGCCTTTAATACCAACCTTTTTGCCTTTTTATATCAAAATTAAAGTTTCTAGTGGTGTTTAACTACAAATATTGTCAACTAAACATCTTTGTGAGATCAATCATTATGAGACAAAATTAAAACCGAAAAACCTAGGCACCGGAAACAACAAACATTTTTTTCTAATTTTTTTACAAATATGGTACCTACTAAACTCATTTTCAAACAGTGTTTTAAATCGCACAAAAACGCTAGCTCGTGACGTCCTCGGATTTTGCCGATATTGCAAAGGAATAAGATACTATTGGATGTATAATAATAAGTTATCATCTTTATCACTGGTATGTTGTGCCTGAATGCAAAAGTACTGTTACGAGCTTAGGGTTCGTCGTTCGGTCAGTAAAAACTGTCGATTGAATTACCAAAATTGACACTTTATTTACTGAAACACCAATTAAAAATTAAATCACACTAATAATTATTAAAACTTTTACAGTTTAGTTCACTTTATTTCACTCCGAAAGCTTCGCTCGTATCGCCAATTCAATACTGCCCCGGTTGCGGCCTCCAGTGGCCTTAAATAGACCTTTTCCACCGAAACATCCAGAATGTTACAGCAAATACCGATCCCGACCGACTAAGTGCAGAAAGTTTCGAGTGTGGACTTTTCTAGAAAGCTTAATTCTTCTATTAAATACTAGATGGCGCTGTTGGGAGAGTTCTAGAAAGATCTTGACACTCCTATTTCTAATACTTGATACCAGATGGCGCTAGTGCCATCAACTGTGGCGCGCAACACTGCCCCCTCCTAAGATTAGATCTAGAAGCATTATCGAGCGTTATTACCTATAATAACGCGCCAGTCGATGCACATGGACGATCTTAGGAGTACCTCTTGCACCTTACTGAAATGGCTCCGTAACGTCAAGGGCTGTCCTCTCCCATGGTGCACCAACATTGTACAATTTCAATGCACCTACTACGAGCCTGAGGTCCCTTCACAGCTGCACAACTTGTACATTTGCGACACCAATCCTCGACATCGTCACGATAATGGACCCAGTAAAACCGTTCTCGGATTTTCAGTAGAGTTCGCCTAACTCTCAGATGGACTCCTGAACAACCATTATGGTACAGCTATAGAACATCCGGCACTTTAGCTTTAGGGACAACCATTTGCAAACAACAACTGTCTCCTCGACCATTTTCCCATTTACGGCACAAGACTCCATCCTGAATCAGCAAGCTGTCCCATTGGGCCTAATAGCTTTTAGTGGTTGAACTCATCGCTGAGACGTCGCTCCACTTGGGCTTGGCAGCACGGGCCTTCATCCAATCCAGAATCGGCTTGATGTCCGGGTCTTCTCGCTGTGCATGTAGTAAGCTGTCCTTCCACTCGTTGCTGAGGTTGTCTGTCCTTAGCATCCTCACAGAAACCACTTCCTAACCCTCTTGCCTAGTACTGTTCTCGCAGTCATCAGGTCTTCTTGACAATGCATCTGTGTTGCCACGCCATTTCCCGCTGCAGTGTCCGATAATAAAGTCGTATTCCTGCTGCTGCTGGGCGGTGCTGCAAGCCGCACTACCCTTTCGAGATCGATCACCTTCCCTTTTTACAGATTGCTTAGGGCAGCTGCATCGAAGATGGCCCGTTTCCCCACAGCCGTAGCACCTTAGGCTGTAACGTTTATTGTGGTCGCGAACTGTAGGTGTTCATCTCATTAACGTGATGAGAACGACGATCCTGCTGCTGCTGGGTGGTGCCGTTAGCCGCACTACCCCCTCAAGATCGATCACCTTCCTTTTCTACAGTTTTCTTAGGGCAGCTGGATTGAAGATAGCCCCTTTCTCCATAACCATAGCACCTAGGGCTGTATCCATTACGATTAAGAAATGTTTCGGAATAACACACAGCAAATTAGCTATTACTCTTAACCAGTGACGTCACGACAGATTCTAATATGGCGGATAGGGTTTTGAAGATTTAAGGTACAGATAAAAAAAATATTCATAAAATATAATGCATTTATATTTATTTATTATTTATCAATTTATAAAACCAACAGCTGTTATTGCGGCTCCGATATTTAGGAGTTCGAAAAATTATTTTGGACACGATGCGGGGAATCAACTTTGCTGTTTATTATATCGTAGAGTAGACCGATATCCAGCACAATACGTCTCTGCTATAACGAAAGTACTTTATGTTCCGCGCAATCGACTTCGTAGGATTCACATGATTTATGACAGCGAAAGTTTAAATGTTTAATAAAGATTTTTTGAATACGCCCCAGGCGATTTCGATATAAGAGATACAGGGGCGACCGAATTGGGCTAGCATACTCTAGAATTGTTCTCACATATGCGAAATACATATGTTCTGTGTGGCAGCGGCCTAGAATACTGTCACTCCCTTTCATCCAGTGGATGTCGTACGAGCCAACAAAGGGAAATTCCTTAAAAAAAAGGAGAACTTAAGGCTTCCGATGGATGGCGCCATAACCATCCCAGTCTTTGTCAGACCAAAAATGCCCAGAGCTGTGATGGGCAGCAGCGTCACAGGTGCGATGTGTCTGGCACTGCGATCGCCAACCCGCTTGCCTAGCGTGGCGATTAAGGGCAAATCTTCCAATGAGTAGCACCACTTTTCCTGGCCGTGGTGGTGGTCATGGCAACGGCGGGACAGGAGATGCGAAGAATCCCCGGGAGAGGACGGGTTACCACCAAAAACTGGACTTGGGGACGTATAATGGACGGACTCCGCGGCAAGACGGACACATTTACGAACTTTAAGCTAAGCTGGAAAATATAAGATGGCATATTGTAGGGTTAAGTGAAGTCCGGAGTGAGGGGGAGGACACAATTACCTATCCCAAGACGGAATAGGTTTCTTCGTTCATAGGATCCTCACTAACGGCAATGTAGATATCTCCAGTGTGTCGACACAGGTAGCGTACCTTGTACTTAAGTTATCAAAGAGATACTCTCTGAAGATCGTACAAGTTTATGCCCCGACCGACCGAAAAGTAATGCTGCAATATTTTCGGCATAACGGAGGATCTTGCTAAGCCATTTGAGGTAGTATTTTTAATATTTCCCCTTAAAAGAAAAATCGCACTTCTTAAAACCAAAACACGGTAACGTAAATTACGTAGTAAAATATTAAAATAATAATTGTTTATTGTATCTTAATTTATATTTCATGTTCGTGATATGTTAGATTGTTGCCCAAGTTGTTACAATTCTGTGCCTTACTTACTGATATTGATTAACTTAATGATCTTTCTATGTATTGAATAAAACTACTTTTACGGATTTTATCGCGTTTAACTTACTTTTAATTCCCGGCGTTTCGGGTGCTGTTATATTATGCCAAAAATCTTTCTATGTAATTTTTGGGGGTTACCAGGGCAGCTTTGTGGCATTCCTTGGGGGAGGCCTTTGTTCAGCAATGGAATTGTGAAGGGCTGTAATGACCAGGCTGTTCGAAGTTTAACTATAGAGCATTTATTGATTTTTTTTAATTCTTTATAGTTTTTAATAAATAATCTCAAGGTTATTTTCTTCATTTCAGAAATAACGCAAACCTTATTTCCATGTGTGGATAATGACAGGAAATGCATTTTATTCACACAATGCAGATCAGCTTTAGAATTATTAAAAACAAGACAAGTTGAATTATTAAGAAAAATGTTTTGTGGATTCGATGAGGGGAGTCCAAAGGTAACACCGAAATATTCAACCAGTTTTTTTTTGTTCGAAGTATAGGTACTTCGAACAAATGAATGCCTAATAATAAAACAAGCCATGAGACAAGAGTTCGCGCTTAGGGTCATATGCGGTCACGCATAGCTAAGCGCGACTGCAAATCATACTATTTTATTCTTTATTCTTCTGTATAATATCATAGTATCTGGTTAAAAGAATTGTGCTCGGAATTAGAAAAAAGTAATAACTTTGTGGATAGATGTTTACTACACGTAAATTTGTAAGAAAAGTAAAACATTATCTAAGTATTTACCAAGTTTAACCCAAATCGTACATAAGGCCCGTTTTCTAAAAACCAATTATTTTGATATAGCATATACATATTATTATTTTATTCATAAAAGTATTAAATTGTTTTGGTATGGTGAGTGTAGAGAACCGGAGACCCTTTTTAGTGGAAACGAGGCATTCCATCTTAGTCCTCACGGGTAACAACGCATCTGCATTTTGATTCGTAATTGAGGATATACGTAGATGTCTATGGGCCACAGCAATCACTTACTATCAGATGGACTGTGTGCTCGTTTAACATCCTATCCTTTAATAAAAAAACGTCGCGTAGGAGCGTGTCATTATAGAAGTAAATAATAGGCAAAAGTTCCGTGCACTGATTAGTACACACACGAGCGCGCGAATGCTGTAGTTTGATTATATACCTGTCTAGATGCCACATTGTACGTACAGAACAGCCCAAATAAAGTCTACTAAAATTGGTAGACTCGCTTCTCACCTACGTCAGTGTCATTTGAATTACTTAGGGATAACGTGCTCACGGAAAATAATTAATTATGCCGGTTTGTGCTGTAAATTGTGTCGCAATTATGTGACAAAACCGTATAATAACACCAAGATCACTTTTCATCAATAAGTTTTGTTTATTAACCACTATTGTTGTATAAAAACACGATTTTTTAAATCGTTACTTTGTACTCTATTCCAATTACGAAATCCCATTTGACAGATGTCAATAATCAAGTACTAGTAAAGTACCGCTATAGTCGATACTTGACGATATTGATCATCGATTACTATAACGAAAAAATTAAAATCGTATTGACAGAAAAAGGATTAGCATCAAATTAAAATTTATAAAACTGTTTTTTTAATTTTAATTAGATAATATTACATGATATTTTTATCAAGATGGAACATATTCATGATCACTAGCCGAAATCGATATTTCATGGTCGGCATAGTCGTCATCATCCTCATCATCATCTGTAGAATTCACTGTATTTATTATAATTTGGTTATCTATGACGGCATCGATATGTATGTCTCTGTCCCAATCAGCGAAAATCAAATTTTTTGTTCGTAAAACCACACTTTCCCAATTCGCGGCAGTAACACTATCACAAGCTTCTTGCAACAATGACAGCATTTTGTTTGCAGTAAACGGTGGGCTGATATTTTTGCGAGCCGCATAACCTAAAATAAAGATTTGCGTATTAATATAGCAACAGATAAAATGTTAAAATAGTTAAAAATAAATTATAAAAAAGATTTGTTTAAATTCTTGCATTTAATTTGCGCCCAAATCAATTCTATGGCATTGTATTGACAATAGTAGGGTGGAAGGCGCATTACATTGTGTCCGGCTTCTTAGCCATTTCGTCCAATACGTATTTTGGTCAAGCTGGCTTATTTATAGCAACCAAATGCAGCAGCTCAACTTTTAACATGGACATGTCAGCAACAATATTATTGTCATTCAGCCATTTCACAATATCGGCTTTTTTGCTGCTAGAAGTTGGAGGCTTACTTATTTGTACTGAATGATACGGTGCATTATCCATAATGAACGTCGATGGCTCATTCAAGTTGGTCAATAAGGTACAAAACCATTCCTTAAATTTAACAAAATTCATCTCTTCGTGGTATTCCACAGTTTTCTTAGATTTAAACGCCGAGAGGCAGTTTGGAACAAATCCCTTCATGGAACCCGCATGACAAATAATTAAGCGTTCGTCTTTGCCACTAGGTACTTTTGTGGAGGAGTGAGGAGTGTAGTCTGTCCATATCTTGCCAACTGTATGATTAGCGTTTAGCCACGTCTCATCTAGAAATATAACGTTATTCCAAACGGCAATGGACTTTGCGGATCTTAGAAAATTAAATCTGGCTAAAGCTATATCTCTACGTTCCATCAAAATCCGCCTTTTATCACATTTTTATAAGAAAAGCCAACATTTTTTAAAACCCTCCAGAAAGAAGTTCTACTGCCGTGAAACAGTCCAGATTCTCGTAAAATATTTGACAATTTATCGAGAGTCGGCAATTCGTTCCTACTATAGTAGCCATAGATATGGTTTCTAATGGCGTTGTTATCAAAATTGTCGATATGTGTAACTATCGATCTTCTAACTTTTTTCTTAAGTGGCGATTTTAATTTGTTATCTTCCATTAAATCATTACCATACATAATCACCAAGAGCTGCACTTACTCGGTTAGTCACTTGTGAAAGTGGCAACAATGGACCACCATTCTGATACTCTCTTTCAAAGTAATCTTGTAGGCGTACTACAAACTCTCGCGCTTGACTGCGCATCACTGTTCTTTTAGTGGTGGTGGGTATAGTGTTTATAAATACAAAAAAAAACCAAATCAAATAACAGTCAAAACTTAATTACAACGAAAGAATTATCAAACAGTTATAACTACAATAACAAGAACGAAATAACACAACACAAAATCAACTAAACTGAACACGCGTATCGTATACAAGTCTTCTGCACTCGTACTGAAGAGACAAACAAAATGGCGGTCGTGATCACGAGGTCGACGCAGTGTTGACAGATTTTCACTCGCGAAAAGAATCTGTCTATAATCGATTTTATACGATTCTTTTAGTCACGTCACTATGCAAAAAAGTAAAAATAAAACTATAGAACGTAAACGCAAAACGGCAATAACATATTACTATCTTTTAAAGTTTTAATTATTTTGAGCACGATGTCTAAAACAATATGTTGATTGTGTGTGTGAATAAATTGTATAATGATTTAGATTGATTGTGTATTTTTAAATGATAATTTACGACCATGAACAAAAAATGATTTTTATTTCAAATTATGCGAAACGTGAAGAGTTACGTTCTAAGAAGTGTCAAAAGGGACTTCGTAATTGGAATAGAGTATAGTCTGATCAGCTGGTGTCATAAGTTTATTACTAGAGAGTTTTGACGAAACTATGGGAGACAAAATACAAATATTATTACATCATCTTTCGATCAGGAGAACATTATATTATTTTAAAAATTACTTTAATTATTTGAGCAGTAAATGATAACATACCTACACAAAATAAATGAAACCCATGACGTCATGTACTAATTAGTATTTTTGATAGTTCTTTCAAATATTTTTATATTTTTAAATAAAGTAAATAAAACTAATCTACATAATAATTACTTTATTAAACCTATTTTGTTTAACTTTCATCTGATTAAACAAGTATATAATCAAAGCCTCCGCCATTTGGTCTCCCCTGGCGAAGTCTCCCATCTGGTTGGATTTTATTTATTAATGTATTTTATTTATTTATTTTATTTTATTGATATGTATCTATATTCATCATTTTCATTTATATATTTATAAAACTATAACTAAAAATACATAAATACCAAAACTAACTATATAAATACCAATAAACATGGTACATTAAAGATGACAAATAGTTGTACATAGTCTATGAAAATTATTTAACATACATAATGTATCAAATCATTATTTTTATAAGTAAGCAAGTCAATATATAAATAATTTATATCAAATTAAATAAAATTTATTAAAAGTACAATTGTTCATGTGAAACGTTATTATGTTATAACTAGGCAAATCAAAATAAGTATAATATATAAAAAAATTTAAATGTCAAATGAGTACTTAATCTAATTGGAAATATTCAAGAGCTGGTATCACTCAGCTCGCTCCCGAGTGACGCAGCGCGCTTGTTAAACAATAGTAGTAACGCATACTTGTGTGTGTAAGAAGCACACATCAAGCGCTCGAAATCGGACCCGTTTTTGTTGCGATTGTAGCGCAACACTCTATCTAGACAGGTATATAATCAAAATCTGTAGTTTTTGCCCATAAATCACATACAATTCATCCATTTTTAACACTCCCTCTTGGTGATACGTGGTGACGTTTACAACTAACCCCCCCCCCCATCACGAGTATTTTTCAGTAGGTACCTGTAAAGTATAATCTAGTTTTACTCTGAAATTAAGAACTATGATAAAAATGTCTAGACAGAAAGGTTGCAGATTGTTTTTAACTGGCATAAAAATAATATTAAAGGAATGGTGTAATCATGCGAAAAACATAATATATTGTACTATAGTACATGAACATATTTAATGTACATTGTCCTCGGACCACGGATTAGCAAGACTTTCTTCAACACTAACAACTGGATAAGCATCTTGCAAGTCAGTTGTTGGTACTGTGCTTTGTTGAAGAACAGCGTCGGTTTCATCAAGAGGATGCGTGAAGGATGAACATTGTGCGTCTCTAGACTATTGTTGCTCGGATTAGGTTCATGCTTGTGACATGAATTTACATGTTCGGCTTAGAAATCGCGCGTTTGACATAAAAATAAATACACGTGATAATCTTACTACACCCCCCCCCCCCCCCATTGTGATATTTCGTGATTTTTGTCAAACCCCCTCCCGCCCCCTTTCAAGCATCACGTGATGAATGGACGGCCCCTTATATACGCGTATTAGGCTACGCGCACACGGAGCCCAATGCGTGTAGCCGCGACGACGGCATCATACAATTAGATGTTTTAGACTGTGCCTTACACTTTTAATAATAATAAGAGACATTGTAATTATGTGAAAACAAGAAAAGTATTTACAATATTTCAAATACTTTAAGTTTTGTTTTTACAAATAAAATTATGTTAACATGTAGGTAAACATTTTATTTTTTTACAGGTATGCTGCCGCCCGGGTAGTGAGATAGTTTTTCCTAATGATACAGAGAATGTGACTAACAGATTGAAAAACACTACCACGCCGAAAATTACTACTACAACAGTGGAAAAGCTAAATACAGTTTCGGTGCCTCATACAACGTTACAAAATGTTAACAGATATAATTTACCTAGTAGAAAAATATGTGGTTTTAGTGGTTACGGTATAGACAGAATTGTGGGAGGTAATATCGCTGCGATTGATGAATTTCCATGGTTAGTTCAAATTAAAACCAAAACAAGTAAGTTTGAACTAAAAAAATTCTTTTAAAAATTTAAGGTCCACTAAAACTCACAATCTCCTCCTGTTTTAAAAGATAAGGACATGTTTCATTAGCGAGATATTTTTGTACATATTTCCAATCTCTATTTAGTGAAAGGCCGTCCAATATTCCACTTGCCATTACAAGCCTGCTAGTCTAGAACCTATATTTTTTTTGCCGTTGGCAGTTTAGCCGAAATACCGAACCATTAACAATTCAGCTTACGGATCCTTTAGGCAATGTCGGTTAATAATGATGATTCTACTGTAAATATCTTCCTAACAACAATAGCATGATTCATCACATAAAAGATTCTGAAGTGTTACTTTAATTCATTATTACACTGTAAAGTTACCGTAGCCTATATACGTCGCACTGCTGCTGGGCACAGGCCTCTCCTCATTTCTGAGAGGGCTTAGGGACAAGAAAGCGTCCGCCGGCTGCCCCAATGCGTGTTGGCGAACTTCGCATGTCTTCGAAAATGTTTTTTTTTACCTTATTCCTCAGACATGCAGGTTTCCTCACGATGTTTTCCTTCAGCGCCAAGCACGTGCGGTAAATCAGCACTTAAAATTGCAATTAACAATTTAACAGCGAGCGTTAACCATCTCGGCTACCACGGCTCACACACTTTATTCATTCATTACACTGTACCTTAGCACAGACTTCAGAAGCTATTATGTGTCAACTATTTCATTCTTCCTAGTTCTTTAGAAGTAATTTTTACTTTTTTATTAAAAGTTAAATTATTCTCCATACTTCCTTAACACAATATCCTTTTGAAAATTTTCGTTTGCAGTTTTGACGAATTACTGCTTTATTGCAACTCACAAGTTTTACGAACTGCACTATTCACCACTAACACAACACTATACTGTACTTACCGGTAATGGTGGTTAATATAGCGCATGGCACCATATTATAGCTACGCTACGCTATCTCTCCATAATGCATAGGCGCGTGCTGTGTAAGTAGCCGCCATGGCGCTATTGCGCTATGGCGCTTTGGCGCTATTAAGTATTAATATTTAGCGGCAACTATTTCTAGAAGCAGCGCTGAATTGGGAGAGGACGTGTGACGCAAATTTGATCTAGTAGTACGCTATTCATCGCGCGCGACCTAATTTAGTGTTAGACGTTGTAACCGTATATTTGTAAGTGATCGAAGAACACAGTTGTCTGCTATAAAAGAACTAATGTTTTAAATGTAAATAAAATATAGATATAAAAGTGTATATAATAGTGTATGTAAATAGTTGATTTTTATAAATACAATCAGTGAACTTTTAAATACACCTTTATTTAATTTATAATTTATATTAAGGTTAAAATAACGTTTACAACAATTTAATTAACGATATAAAATTAATTATTTTTATTATAATATAATAAAAATAATTAAATTTATTTCGTTTTAAAAGTACATGCCTTAAAAATATTTTTAGGATTATAGAAAGCCGTAAGCCTGAAAAGTATGAAAAAGCATTCATCGGTTTTTCTTTACCGCTTTATTTTATATTAGTCTAAAATGCGACCTATTACGAAATAATGTTCTTGTATAGCACGCGGTTTATCCAATGAACGATATGTAATGTAACGTGCTACGAGATATAACGTGCTGCAAAACTTAACGCGCTTGCCGGCCTCCTACACGCTTTCTTATAAATAGCGCGCTATAACATACCGTATTATTTATTATTATTTATAATAGCGCATCTTATCACGATTTACTTTTCCTTTCGTATAAACTACGCCCTCCTAAAATCAAACCTAAATTAGTTCTGCGACGTTATTTTGGAGGAATAGATATTGACCAACTTTGCGAAGATGCTCATAATATTGACTGGTCAGTGATTGAGAAAGCACCATGCATTGACAATAAAGTGGAACTTTTCAATTCCCTTCTCACTCAGCTATATGACGTACACGCGCCAATGCATTATGTTAAACTCAAGCACTTACCTGCTCCATGGATCTCTGATGATCTGAAAAGGCTAATTTTGAAGAAGAATGCGGCATTGTCAAAGCTTAAGAGGAACAAAACAGAGGAAAACCTTAGAAAATACACTAAAATCCGGAATCGCTGCAACACATTGTGTAGAGATGCACAACGACGCCATATTCATTAATCAGTCGAGAACGGCGACTCATCTAGGGTGTGGAAGTTTCTTAAAACAGTTGGAGTTGGTAGAAACTCTCTTAATACTTCACCTCCCAGTGTTGATGTTGAACTATTAAATCAACATTTTTCTAATCCTTCTAACTCTTTTGATAGTGAACATAAACTGCAAACACTTCGTTCTCTTTCTGTAAGTCCGACTCCTAATTATTCTCCGTTCGTTTTTAGTCAATTTACTGTATGTGATGTTAAGAGAATCATATTATCCATCTCCTCAAATGCTGTCGGTAGCGACAGCATTAGCCGTAATATGATCGTTCCTCTCCTTGATGTTATCACTCCCATTATCACTCATTTGCTTAACGCATGTGCATCTTCCTCTAAATTCCCTCAAGCCTGGAAGAGTGCTTATGTTATACCCCTTCCGAAGAAATCTAATCCCGTCAACCTCACTGATTTCCGTCCCATTTCGATTTTACCTTTCCTTTCTAAAGTTCTTGAAAAACTTATTTGCCAACAGCTGACACTTTTCCTTAATAAGCACAATTTGTTGAATTCTTTACAATCCGGTTTCCGTCCCGGTCATAGTACGGCTACTACCTTAATTAAAGTTACTGATGACATACGGTGGGGTATGGATAATAAACAACTCACAGTCATGACCTTGCTAGATTTCAGCAATGCGTTCAATACTGTTGATTTCGATATACTGTTGAGTCAGTTGTATTCCCTTAACATATCTCCATCAGTAATTGACTGGTTTCAAAGTTATCTCTGTGGCCGTCGGCAGTGTATTCATGTTGATGAAACTCACTCATCTTGGTGTGATATTACTGCAGGCGTGCCGCAGGGTGGCGTGTTGTCACCTTTACTCTTATCCATTTTCATTAATTCAATTACTCATAAAATTTCTTCACTCTACCACTTGTATGCGGATGATGTCCAGATTTACACCCAGTCAACTCTTGAAAATTTGCCAAATGCAATCGCTACATTAAACAATGACTTAAATATGATTCATGAGTGGAGTCAATCATATGGCCTAAATGTCAATCCTAAAAAGTCACAGGCTATCATTTTTGGTAATCAGAGCTTTATCTCAAGAATTGACTGGTTCTCCATACCACCTGTTGTATTCGATGGGGTTGTGATCCCTTACTTTGACAATGTCAAAAATCTTGGTGTTTACCTTGATAGTTCCTTAAATTGGAAACGCCAACTGAATGAGGTAAGTAAGAAAACCTTTGTCGCTCTTAGTTCACTGCGTCGCCTTCGATCATTTCTTCCCATTCCTACAAAAATTATGCTCGCACAGTTTCTTCTCCTTCCGATTCTCGACTATGCTGACGCAAGCTATGTAGACATAACTAAAGACCAGCTAACTAAGCTTGAGAGACTTCAAAATACCAGTATTCGGTTCATATTTGGATTGCGCAAATTTGACCACATTTCCCAATTTCGCTCACGTCTCAAGTGGTTACCTATCCAATTTCGCCGGAACATGCATATTCTTTCTATTCTGTACTGTGTCTTATTTCACCCTTCTACTCCTCCTTATCTTAAGGAGAAATTTAGTTTTGTTGGGCTTCCGGGGGGAACCTTTACGCTCTTCAAGAAAACTCATTTTAAGGGTACCAACTCACAATACATCTTTCTTTAATAAATCTTTTACTGTACAGTCTATTAAGCTCTGGAATGCCCTACCTTTGTATTTACGCGAAGCTCAGACTATTGTAGTCTTTAAGCGACTTCTTAAAGAGCATTACTTGTCTCAATCATTTGAAAATCATTAGGATAAATTATGTGATTATGTAGTTTTGTATTTATTTGTTTATGTTATTGTTAGTGGTATATATTTGAGGATGTATGTATGTATGTATATGTATGTATATATATATATATATATATATATATATATGTATATATGTGTGTGTGTATGTTTATGTATATACGTATGTATATGTGTATCATATTTTTTTATTGCATGTATTGATATTATATTAGGTATATTTATATTGCACCACCTACCTAGTACTCACTGTTTTATTCCTTTACACCTTTGGTTGCTTGGAAGAGATCGCTATGTAGCGATAAGGCCGCCAAGTTGTACATGTAATCTGCTCTCTGTTATGTTCTTTGTAAATTTGTTTGTGGGGTGCAATAAAGTATATTCATTCATTCATTCATTCATTCATAGCGCACTATAAATTTATAGTTTATAGTCTATAGCAGTGATTCCCCTAGGGGTCTATGACAACCTGCAAGGGGTCTACGTCAGCGAAAAAAAATTTGGGGGTCCATGAAATGAAAATGGGGGTCCACGATAGTGGATCTCAACACATACACTGATAGTACCTATTTACTTACATCATACTATCTTATAATATCAAAACATATACATTATTTATAAAAGTACCTATGAAGTAAAAAATTTATTATATATGTTTATAAAATTATGTAAGTTGTAGGATGTTGGTATTCGCTTTTGGTCGCAATACATTTTTAACTCGTAAAAACCTGAGAGTCGCAGTCTCACAGCATCGCTACCTTGCACTGACTTGTTCAATTCGTCACTCTATAAATACGAATGTGGGACAAATATGTTTATTCGTTTCCTGAATCTTGAAAAGGAAAGTGCTAAGAAAATATTTTAAAAAATATAAATAGATAGTATATCACACAAATTAAAGTGAGTCAGTGTTATTTTGTTTGAGAGTGCTGGAGAAAAGTAAGTACATTATTATTTATTAAATTTTAGTTTTGTACTCGTAGTTAGCAAAGATAGATAAATTACGCCAATCATGAGTTTAGTTATTTGTAGTTTAATATTCAATCATGCAAAATTACACGAGTACTCCTCA